TTTTATACTTCAGATTGGACAGTTTCTATTATGTTTTCATGTTGGCTGATATTTTGTTTCACCAGCTATTAATCTTCTATTAAGTGTATTCAAATACTGTGTTTTTTAGTTCTTGAAAGATTTTTATGTCATCCATTTCTTGTGTGATTGTGTCCATATTTTCCTTTAAATCCTTGAGAATAATTGTAATAGCAATTTAAGAGCCCTTGTTGCTAATTTTATTATTCCTGCCATTTCATCCACTGATGGATTTTTCTGAAAGTTATGCGTCATGTTCCTCAGAATCATCATATGTCCAGTCATTTTTGATTGGATGCTGGGCATGCAGTTCTAGATTTTGTTGTTTTCCTTTATAGAGAACTTACTCTGGCTGTTGTTTCAGTGACTTGTGGATCATATTTGTTCTTCAGAGGCTTGTTTTTAATCTTTGTTAGGGGTAATCTAGGGTACATTTTACTCTGTGGCTAGTTTAGGCCTAAAACTGAAGCATGGTTCTTCTCTGATCTCTACTGAATGTCCCAGGGGACCAATCAGGACTCTTTACCTCTTTACTCTTGCTTGTCAAATCATGAACATCTCCCAGCCCTTTGTAAGATTGGCCATTTTATTTTTGCCTGGCTTAGTGGTCTTTCATGCTATACACTTGGCTTATCCTATATAATAAAGAGGTAATATGCAAATTGACTGTCACACACTTGCACAAGATGGCCACCCCCATGTGGGCACAAGATGGCTGGCAGGAGAGAGCAATTAGGGGCGACCAGGTCAGCAGGGGAGGGCAGTCAGGGGTGCCCAGGCTGGCAGGAGAGGGCAGTTCGGGGCAACCCAGACTGGCAGGGGAGGGCAGTTAGGGGCAACTGGGCCGGCAGGGGAGAGAAGTTAAGGGTGACCGGGCTGGCAGAGGAGGGCAGTTAGGGGCGACTGGGCTGGCAGGACCAGTAGGGGAGGGCAGTTGGGGGCGATCAGGCTGGCAGGGGAGCAGTTAGGGGGTGATCAGGCTGCAGGCAGAAGCGGTTAGGGGCAATCAGGTAGGCAGGCAGGCAGGCGAGCGGTTGGGAGCCAGATTGTGAGAGGGATGTCCCAGATTGGAGAGGGTGCAGGCTGGGCTGAGGGACAACCCTCCCCCCCCCCCCCCAGTGCATGAATTTTGTGTACTGGCCTCTAGTTGTTCAATAACAGACCCACAGATTCATATATATCGTTCTCGGCAGAGCTTCCTCTTGTTTGATACTCCACTCCATAAATTATAGTTGCTTCAACTCTCTAAACTTTGATAGTATCTCCTCAGCTCAGAGTGTCAGTGCTATGCTTGGGTTACTGCTTTCTGTATTATGATCTGAAAAGTGCCCCCAGGAAGAAAGCTGAGTCAATTGCAGGAATAGAGAGCTTATCTCTCCCTCAACCAACAGAAAGGGGCAGAACTGCAGTCAGTTCTGTAGATAGAGGATTAATTTGATAAAACCCAAGTTCTGTGGCATTTTGGGAAAAAGAAATAGCTCATCCTTTTTTCCCCTCTAAATCATACCAGAAAAGGTAATAGACAAAGGTCGTCATCTTTTGAAGGGAGCATTTGTTAGGTACAAGATTTTCACCTGTCCCCCTTTACCATTATTGCCAATTAATGGCAGACCCAACTGTAACCTACGAATGGGAACATAACAATGTAAAGCTTCATACAGCTCTTGTAACAATTATAACTGAACAGAGAATACAATATGATTAGCCCCTGGGCTTGAGGGGCACTGTTTAAAGGCAGGGCTTTCACGCTTACAGGGTGGCAGGTACCCTACATGTTTCTGCTGCACCCTGTGACAGCTGTCTGAGATCTCAACATTTCCAAAGTTATCACAAGGAACTGAGCATTCATAATACCCGAGAGCAGTTCTCACCCTGGAACATTCTAGCATCAGCAGGGCATGCCTCTGGCCCACATCAATGAAGTCAGACGCTGGCAGTGGTGCTTGGCTATCGATATTTTTAGTAAAGACCTCAGGTGATTCTAAGGGGAAGCTAGGTTTAAGGACCATTCTCTTAGACCAGGGGTCCTCAAACTACGGCCCGCGGGCCACATGCAAATACAAATATTGTATTTGTTCCCGTTTTGTTTTTTTTACTTCAAAATAAGATATGTGCAGTGTGCATAGGAATTTGTTCATAGTTTTTTTTTAAACTATAGTTCGGCCCTCCAACGGTCTGAGGGACAGTGAACTGGCCCCCTGTTTAAAAAGTTTGAGGACCCCTGCCTTAGACTGTTAGTCCACATGAAACTGGACAGCAGAGGAGAATATAGAGTTTTAATGGTTTCCCTGACCTTCTCCGTGGGCTCCTTTTGTCTCCCTTAACATTTTTTTTTGCCCTGTTTAAATCTACCCACCCCACTATGTCTGCATCACATTTCTTTTCTTGAGAATAATCCATCAGTTCTGAAAATGAAATGCTCAAATGGGACATGCTCTCCAGCCTAGGACTTTCTGGTGATTTAATTATCTAATTACTGAAGCCGGCTGCCAAGCACAAAAGATTTCATTCAATTTCACTATTTTATAACACAGTTCAAAGAACATTTGAACTTCTAATTCAATTTTTGTTCTTTTGAGACTATTCTACAGAGTTTCGCGTGTCTCTAATGACAACTCCATTACTGGACTTGTAATCACTCTGGGGTTGTCATTTATTTTTGGAGTATAGAATACATATGCTGACGGAGAAACTGGCGCTCAGATGGCTTAATTCTTCTGAACTCTTTTTGTCTTACGTAGACTCCCCTGACGGAAAAGACAGAGGCTTGACAGGAAGGAAAGCTAATGGAGACACAGAGGATACGAAGACCGAGGTAGAAGGGACAGCAGCCAGGCGAAGAGGCAAAGTGCTTCTCTTTCCTCATGTGTCTGCTCTTGAGAACTGCAAACACTTCTAAGCTCAAGAGCATGTCTGCTCACTGCTCTTTACACCCCAAAGCCAGAAAAGCTGCGCAGTTCTGGGCAATAAAGGAAGTTGTGTGGTTAAGACAGCATTCCCAGACCTTGACTAAAGAGCTGCTTTGTTTGAGAAGCTATGATTCTGCAACTGAGCCTCCACGGTTCAAGGGTTGAAAGGAGTGGCAAGCTGTGGGAGACTCCTTCCAGCCAGCCAGAGGACCAAACAATACCAGCCACCACCAGGGTGATGTCACAGCCACACACATCACAATCTTGGTATCAAATTTGCCACACTTCAGCGATGTTTCAGAAATTCCACCCCTGCCCTCAAACCAACAAATGTTCACTTTTGAAAGCACTACCATACAAACAATACATTTAAGAATTTTTTCTCTCTTGAGTGTCCATTAGGGAAAGACACTTTCCAAATGGCCAGCAGGTGGCGCTACAAGGAAGGGGCAGTGTGAGAAGGGGCTTGTCCTCCCTCCATAAACCACAGGTAAGAGCCTGGGGGAGGACATACCCTCTCTGCCCTGCACAAGTGTTGTCTGGCTTGCAGGGTACCATTGGCCTTGAATTATTTTCCAACATTCTAAAGATGAACACAGATATTTTATTTAAAAAAAAAACCTGTATTTCCTGATTCTCTAGGGTTGCTGAAATGTCCAGGCACACTGACTGTAATACTGTTAGGTGAAGAGCTGGCTGGAATTGAGTGGTAACTGACCTTAGAGGGGCCTCTTGCCACTGTCCCTTCTCCACTTTTGTTGAGTTACTCTCGACACTGTGGGCACTGGACTTTGCCACCTGGCACACACCCTCAGCCCAACCCAGACATTCATTTCATTGCAGAGTGTCTTTAAAATTGCAAAGCAAGGAGAAGCTAATGCAAAGGATGGGGGACTTCACAGACGACATGATTCATAAAAGTATTTAAATGAACTTGCATGGGACAGCCAAGGCAACGTCACCTTGCAGGCCTGAGTACGGAGCCATGCTGTCTGGTGTGTCAGATCTTACAGTCCATGACGGGGCCTCTCGGGCCAGCTGCCTTTCTGTTTATTCTCTGGCAGGTAGAATAAGGGCAAAGCATCTTCTTGCCTTAATGAGGTGGTGAAACATGTAGGGCTCATGCCTCTGTGAGCTGAAGCAAGAAAGGGCTGTGGTCTGAAGCCCTTCCTTGTCGGACCTCCCTGGTGGAGGAGGCTACACCCCACTGCCTACTGTGGATGCCACACCTGAGTGGCTGCGCCAGGCTCCTGGGCGGCTCTGTCTTTTACCAATGTTTGAACTACGAACTCCTCGAAGTCAAGGAGCCAGCTCTCTACCCTCAAGGATCAACCTCCTACCGAAGGCAGGCGGCGTGAGGTTGATACATAAAGCAGACACATGATCGCATGAAGGGCGGCCCCGCCCCAGCCCCTCAGTGCCCACCACCAGGAGATGCATTATTCAGCATGCGATTGGCTCACGAGATTCGTGCCACAAAGGGTCATTTCCCCTCCCGTTTTGGTTCCCATAGAGTGCACACATTCCTCAATAATGGGAAAAGGTAAGGAAAATATTATGGGACACACTATCCAGATAGAATGCAGATGTTTTTCTCCACAAGATCATCCATGATGGCTTCTTTTCCTTATGAATTAATCATCTAGATACCTCATAGGTCCTTGTAAAAAAAAAAAAAAAAAAAAAGCTCAGCTGACTGTCTCACCACTGGGCCTGCTCACTGGGGGGAAGCAAGGAGCCGGAACACTAACCAGGAAGTCGTCACTGGCTGTTATTATGCTCCATGGGGCTCCTGTGCTCTCAGCTCTCCTCGGAAAAACAGAGGTTTAATGGGCTTTTCATGTGTAAAAGCACGCGGAGCTTAAAGAAGTGGCTATCCATTGACTACGGTTGCAGTGGAAGGTCTCGACCCAGATTATGTGTGTGAGGGAGGAAACCGTGGCTCACCCTTAGGGGAGGATGGTGGAAAGAACCCTGGTGGGTGCTGCTGTGGGGCCAGGGGTGTGGGAGGCGGGGAAAGCTGACTTTGGGCAAATAAGACAGAAGACATCGTCCACAAGGAACAGTCTGTACCTGGAGCTGTCGCATCTGCTGCAGCTGGAGCCGGAGCTCGGCCACATTCCGCCTCATGTCGAGCAGGCTCAGGTGGACGGCCGAGGTGCCGGCGGCCAGGGGCTGGCTGGGTGGCCCCAGGGACTCCAGGGCGCCGAGAGTCTTCCCGCCAGAAACATGGGGCGTTCCTATGAGAAAAGAGCAGCAAAGACCCTAAGAAAGCCAGACAGGAACGGCGAAGTTAAGTTCCACCCCATCACAGACAACTTGACTCTAAAAATGCCCATTTCCTTCACTGTGAAAATTTAAAAAAAAAATTATGCGGGTCCTCTATATGACAAAAGTAAGGAATTAAATTTAAATAAAGTATGGAAACCTCATGTCACACTGCAGCATGCACTCTTTAACAATCATGTGCTAGAAGCTTAGTGCCAAAGGGAGGCAGATCAGTGCAGTATCTAAAGCAGGAGGCCGTGTGGGAAGCTGTCTGTCTGTCCACACAGCTTCTGTGGATGTATACAGGGGTGCAGAGAAAGATCAGATGTATCTGGAACAAAGGATTAACAGTATGTCCGGCTGTTGGTATTCCATGAGGTTTATATTACTACTTTTTCCTTTTTTAAATCTGCATAGTGGATCTCTGTAATTTTATAACAGAAAAATAATTTTAAAATTCTGGGACCTAACACAGGATCTCCGTGACTATTTCATGCAGGCAGATGTATCCCAAGATGCCCTTAGTTCTGAGCAGAGATTGGGCCGATCACGAAGGGAAGACGAATGAGAAATGAGTTTCTTCTGAATCTTTTCAGCTTTCCAGACCGAAAGCAGCAGGACCTCTGTCCTAGTCCCGACGGTGAGAAAAGCAGGCGTGATGTGAGAATTCTTTAGGAGAGGAAGCCAGGCAGCAGAAACAGCCTCTTCCTCCATAGTTCCTAGCTGCCATAAACGTTGGCTCCTGGAGTCCAACTCAAATAAACCTCATTCACTTTATAAGTTCATCTGGGAAGAGCCTGATTTGACGAAGTTTGCTTTAAAAGGTCATAAAAGATCCCAATAACACAGGATGAGCAAGGTACAGGAATCAAAAGGAAGTGCTATTTATATATTGTTTAAAGATAACGAATGCAGTTCTCTGGAAGAGGCCACCAGAGTAAAATCCTCACCACACCCACACGCACACTCACACCCACACCCACACGCACACTCACACCCACACGCACACTCACACCCACACCCACACCCACACGCACACCCACACGCACACTCACACCCACACCCACACCCACACGCACACCCACACTCACACCCACACGCACACTCACACTCACACCCACACGCACACTCACACCCACACCCACACGCACACTCACACTCACACCCACACGCACACTCACACCCACACCCACACGCACACCCACACCCACACGCACACTCACACCCACACCCACACGCACACTCACACCCACACGCACACTCACACCCACACGCACACTCACACCCACACCCACACGCACACTCACACCCACACGCACACTCACACCCACACGCACACTCACACCCACACGCACACTCACACCCACACCCACACGCACACCCACACGCACACTCACACCCACACGCACACTCACACCCACACCCACACGCACACTCACACTCACACCCACACGCACACTCACACCCACACCCACACGCACACTCACACTCACACCCACACGCACACTCACACCCACACCCACACGCACACCCACACCCACACGCACACTCACACCCACACCCACACGCACACTCACACCCACACGCACACTCACACCCACACGCACACTCACACCCACACCCACACGCACACTCACACCCACACGCACACTCACACCCACACGCACACTCACACCCACACCCACACGCACACTCACACCCACACGCACACTCACACCCACACCCACACGCACACTCACACCCACACTCACACCCACACTCACACCCACACTCACACCCACACGCACACTCACACCCACACCCACACGCACACCCACACTCACTTCTGAAGGGGCTGGAAACTCTTTCCTGTAAAGGACAAAGTGGAGGGTGTGCCACGGGCCCAGCTGGCCTCCCACCACAGAACCCTGGCGTTGCTCTCCTGCCCTGGAATGGCTACAGCCAGTGGTGTCTCTTCCCATCTCAGCTCAGCACCCGTGGGAACCTTGCCTTTCTCAGCACATGCAGGGCTGCTGCCCTGGAGGCTCTGACCAACTTTTGGCAGTCTCCTCGCCCCCGAATAAAAATCACCCTCATCAAAGCAAGACTTGCTCCGATTACAATCTAGTCCCAGGTTAAGGGGCGGTCCTGTCACTGGGCAGCAGGCAGTGAGTAGATGTCCATTTTTAAACAACCAGTGAGCCCACCCCTGTGGCAATGCTGGTGTTCCTTTGGAAAGGAGGGAAGTGAATTATCAAGCACCACATGTTCATGTGGAGCATAACTTCACTAAATGGAGAAAATACTTGGTCTTCAACACACACACACACACACACACACACACACACACACACACACCTACCTATATAGAAATGATTAGTTTCATTCCTTGATCTGACCAAAGTTTTACCTTAAGTCCAGTCAGTAAGAGAACCATGACTCTGCTTCTTCTTGCCTCCTGTCCAGGCTCCCTCTTAGACTCAACAATGACTAAGGCATCCCACCTTAATAAAAGCATGACTGACATTCCTTATTTACAAAGACAAAAAATTAGAAACACCTGCAGCCTTTTCCAGATCTCATCTCTTGATGTGAAAACATTGCAGGTGGGTATTTTCTTCAGCTACTCAAAGACTGAATCATAAGGTCTAAGGCAGTGGTTCTCAACCGTGGCTGCACATTAGAATCACCTGGGAATCTTTTTAAAATCCTGATTTCTGGGTCTCATCCTCCGGAAATTCTGTTTCTTTGTTATGGGGTGGGGCCACAACATTAGTAACAAAGAAACAGAATTTCCGGAGGATGAGGCCCAGAAATCAGGATTTTAAAAAGATTCCCAGGTGATTCTAATGTGCAGCCACAGTTGAGAACCACTGGTCTAAGGAAAACGCTGACTCATACATGACTTAGCTGAAGGTGAATGAATGGTGAAAGGTTTCCATAGGAGAACATCTAGTAACATTTCCAGCAATAGCAGCATGTCAGAATTAACAGCATCTTCAAGATCAAGTATTCTGAGAGAATCACAATAAATAGGAAGTTTTTCTCTTAGAATCGGCCAAGTTACTTTATCATCACTCAATCCCTCCTTCTCTTTACATTCTGAGGGCACTGGTGCACCTCACCAACCTCCTGCCTGGAGGAGAGGCCAGAATCTGTTAGAATTAAATGCTGATAACCGGTTAAAAAATATCTTTCACAACAAAGTTTCTTTATGGACTCTATACTCATTTCAAAAATTTCTTCATCTATAACTTCTTAATCCACTAAATTTGGTTTCTAATTCCATCGTTCACAGAAATGGCTCTTTATAAGGTGGGCAATGGTCGGCTGTCTACCCAACAGACACCTCCTTGGTGTGATGCTGGGCTCCATTAGCCACCTCTTTCCTTTTCAATTTAAACTCTCCTGTCCCTTGTCTTCTTCCCTCTCCACTACTCCATCTTGGTCAATCTCCTTTCTAATGTCTTCCTTGGCCAACTTTAAAAAGCCTGGCCTGTTCTGTCCTGGTCCTGTTTCTTCTCTCACTGGACGTGCTTTCCAGGGAGGTCACTTCCTCTACCGCCACCTGCCAAGGTCCCTCACATCTTTGTCTCCAGCATACAATTCTCTTCAGATCCGCATACCAGTACGTTCGTGTTGCTACAGGACTTACCAGTACGTTCATGTTGCTACAGGACTTTTCATCTTCCCAGACCCCTTTCTGTCTCTGTACATCTGACCTTAGCCAGTGGCACTATTATAGACTCAGTTACTTAAATCAGAAACCTGGAAATCATCCTCAGCATCCACTTCCTAGTTGTGTGACCTTGGCAGGGCAACTCAACCTCTCTCACTCTCAGTTTCCTCATCTGTAAAAGGTGTGGAAGGGTTATTGTGTGAGATAATGGAATTAACACAGGTAAACTGCTTACTAGTAGCCTGGTGTCTGGCACAGAGGGACTCCCCACTGCAATCAGCTGTGATTATGTCTCTGAGCAGAGTGGGCGGGAAAAGCCTCTGCCTCCCTCCCCTCCTCCCCTGGAGTGTCACAGGGCCAGACGCTGGGGGTGACAGCAGCAGGCTGAGAGCTATAGGCAGGTGCCCTGAAATCCACACACGGAGCTGGATTTGGTGAGTAGGGACCACGAGTGATAAGTTCCCCTTCAGATCAGTTCACAGGACCTGGGGTCTGCTCACCACATCCACACGCAGGTGGTCACATTCTGCTCCCAACATGCACAGATGAACAAGGATTCATCGTGCAGTTTGTCCTCAGAAACACCCTCCATTCTGTGCACATCACCCTTTCCAGGCAATGGCCTCCCTTCCTCCTCCCCAGTCACTGTTAGGTAATACACTTCAGTTGAGTGTATCTCACTATGAAATTTATTACATGCAAATTTAATGTACCCTGTTGTGATAGAAAGAACCTGGGTTTGGGGACTGGCCAGACTGGCTGTGACTCTTACTAACTGTGTGGCTAACATCTTTCTTACAGGGTTGTGTGTTAAATTATATAACACCCTGTATAAAGTACAAAGTATGCCTTTGAAATGGGAGGTTCCTTCTGTTCTCTTATACCCACAGAATCACATATTCCTAAAGTAACAGGAAGTTTGGGTTTTCCTTTTCCTTTACCCTTGGACAAATGAGCTCCTTAGCTCCTATTGTAATTCCATGTACTTGTCTACAGAACAGGCGTAATTCTTCTCTTACAGCTTACTTCCTTGGGTTCTGGAAGAATTAATATATTTTGTGCACTGTACAGGCTGCTATGGCAACGAAAGCCCGGCGGACCACATCTAGCCCTGACACACTAGAATGAGAAAGACCAAACTCAGCAGAGACGCAGGGGAGCAAACACACTTGCTTGTTCCTGGTGGCATTGCAAATTGGCTCAGCCTCTCAAAAGAGAAACTGGCAGCATGTTGCCAGAGATACTCAACTGTTCGTCCCTTTGGACTTACTGATTCCACTTTGGGAAATACTACATCCTAAGGAAATTACACCCGTTCCTTCCCCCTTGCTCCAAAAAAGACATTTACAAAATTATTCAAAATAAAGAAATGAAAAACCTATACATCTTTAAAGGGACTGGGCACCTTAACACAAAAAGATGAGGAAAAAAATGACAGGTGGGTGGCCCCTGTGGATGTGTTCCTATGTGGAACTGTGTGCAGTCTTCTTCCCTGGGAATGGGAATAATGAGGATGGGCCAGGAGTTAATGGGTTGTTGTATGAAGAGCACCTAGAACAGTGCCTGGCACATTGGAAACACTCACTAAAGGTCACTCATTGCAATGATGATGATGATGTCACCCAAAGTGAAAGGACTAAAAGCAGGGTACAAAGCAGCACGTACTATTGGTTAGAACAATGATATCAGATACTCATCATTTCTGGGCCAGAATCCAGAGGGATGGGGTGATTTAGTGTCTGTAGTTTCCTTCTGTTCCCTTCACTTTGCGATACAATTGACCTAGACCACGGTGCAACTTTAAAGTGCAGAGCATGTTGCTTTGGTACACTTACATATGCCATATGGTCACCGCTGTGTGTTAGCTAAAACGCCTGTCATGTCTCATAATTACCATTTCCTTTTTGTGGTGTGAACATTTAAGATCTACTCTCTTGGCAACTTTCAAGTATATAGTTCAGTATTTTTTTTTTTTATTGAATTTATTGGGGTGACATTGGTTAATAAGAGTATAGGTTTCAGGTGTACAATTCTATAATACATCACCTGTATGTTTATCACCCCAAGTCAAGTCTCCTTCCATCATGTATTCCCCTTATACCCTATTCTCCCTCCCCCCGCTGCCTTTTCCCCCTACTAATCACCATACTGTTGTCTGTGTCTATGAGTTGTTGTTTTTTTCTGCTTAATTCTTTCAAGGATTTTCACCCAGCACACGCCCACCCTCCACAGCTATCAGTCTGTTCTCTGTGTCTAAGAGTCTGTTTCTGTTTTGCTTGTTAGTTTATCTTGTTCATTAGATTCCACATATAAGTGAAATCATATGGCACTTGTCTTTCTCTGATGTATTATTATCTATAATCACCATGCTGTGCACTGATTCCACAGAACTTACTCATCTTCCAACTGGAAGTTTGTACTTTCTGACCAACAGCTCACCATTTCCCATCTCCCAGTAACCACCATTCCACTCTCTCTTTCTATGAGTGCCATAAGTTCCCTTTCCCCTTAAATTCATAATAGATCAAAAAAGAAATGAGTGAACAAGTATCTCCAAAACAAACTGGCACTTGCTCTGAAGACAAGTTTAGTGATTTCTGTGAAATAATTCTCTGGATGCACGGCCACTGATTAACTTCTAAGTAAACCAACAGGCCCCAGAGGCCCGGGAGGGCTGGAAGGCCAGCCCTGCTGGCTGAGCAGCTGAACTGCCTGCACGTAGCCCAGGACTAACCGAGGTCCAGCTGAAGTCCCAGATTCTGCCCTTTCCACCACGCTGCACGACACTCTGTGGCTTCCCCAAATTAGAGGTTTCACCCAACTTGCCACATGCTTCCTGTGTAATTCAGTGGCTGAACACGTCCCTGGTAATGATTCTATTTCTAACCCAGTGGGAAGGACGACCTCATATTCTCGACAGAGGTCTGCCTTGAGCCTGCAGGATAAGATGTGCATCAAATATACCAGGATACTAGGGAATTCCACATGGAATTTAATTGGGGCCCTTTGAGAGGGAGGTGAGGGAGGGGGAGGGGGCGCGATGCTGGCATTTAAAAAGCAGGCCTTGGTCCAAGGATACCTTCTTCTCCCGACTCGATCACTGGTGGTCCCTGTCAGCATTCGCCCCTTTTCACCCATTACCATGCTGCCCTGGGCTGAGGTCCTTCCCTAGTGCAGAGCCTTCCAATGGCTTCAATTTGCACTTAGATTATTATCTAAATTCCTCATCCTGGACGGCTCTTCCCTTCCCCCTTCACTACCTAAATCCTGTTCATCTGTCAGGTCTCAGTGTGTGTCACTTCCTCAGGGAAATGTCCTTGGTCTAGGCTAGAACTGTCAGTTAAACATTCATCCTTCACTTTTGCGTCACACTCAATGCTCGTGTAATTACTTGCCCCATATGCATTTCCCCCACGGGATTCGGAATTCTAAGCAAGCAGTTGTGTCTGAATCATGCTCCCTGTCCTTACTCAGTACCAGGCACATAAATATTTGTTGGATGTTTGGCCATATAAATGAGTAAGTGAATGAATAGTGAATGAATGAAAAAAGACTGAAGGGAGAAGACCAAAGGGCTTAGTCCCTCCCAAATTAATGACGAATCTGGAATTTCAGCATTAAGCAGGGAAGGTGAGATGGGGTGGACATTATCGGGAAAGTCTCTGAAATCACACCACATCGATAACTTCGGGAAAGGTCACGGACTTCTGCAACAAGCAGAGTGCACCCACGGCAGCCTGCAGGTTCCCCAATGCTCCAAGAACACTTACCTGCACTCTCTGTGTGGTTCTTATTAGCTGGTGTTTTCATCATCTTCTCGCTGAATAAAAGAAAAAGAGAGTCAGCTATACAGTTTCCAAAATGCCTTTTTTTTTTTTTTTGCCCCCTCCATTCATTATTCTAAGCAATGAGCAGCAGGTAGTGATGGTATCAAGCAATGAGGGGATTTTAGCATCAGCACCACGACTGGCCGGGATGGAAAAGGCTTCCCAGGTGTGCACTGACAGTGCGGGTGGAAGACAGCAGGTGGGCACTCATGACTTTCAGAGGATGGCGGAGGTGGAGACGTGTGGATGGTGGCTGCAGGCACTGCGCAGTGGTCCATGAAGCCACATGCACTGGGAAGCCCATTTACCCTTCTTGGGCCAAAGGGTTACCTTCGACCAAGAATTACCAGAAGGAAAAAACAAACAAACAAACCATGATTCAGAGAGATGTAACTATTTTCAGCCTTGAAATGATTACAAGAAAACGGATTTGAATGAGTGAATTATCTTAATGATTAAAGAGAAACAGATTGAATTATTTAATGGGTTTGTTTCTTCTTTTTACCTAGATGCATCTTTGCTAGTGCTTGTTAGGGGCCCTTTAAAAAGTGCAGACTGAACAAGGCCAGTTAAACTGGCAATCTGTCTCTCCATGGCTTGCATCCTCTCTCTGTAAAACAAGAGAATTGTTTGTTAAAGCTTTATTGACTTTCAGACTGGTTCGTCTGGTGAATGATCACCCGAGGGTCATAAAAGGTACCACCTCGTAGGCCAGCAAAGTGCACCCGCCTGGCTCGGAGAATGTGATGAGCCTGCCAGTACCTGCTGAGCTTGTGTCGTGATGGGAGCCTAAGACTAACCCCAAGACCTCACTGAAAAGATGCTGTGCAGACCTGAGAGGCCTCCTGAGAAACTGGAATGTGTCTCCCTCAGAAACAACTCTGCTTGCGTGGAGTGTTCTCGAGCCTTTCTGCCCTGCTTCTGCCATTTTACTTCTGGCACCAGCGGCGTCCTAGGCCAGCTGTGCCCAGTGGCTCAGGCCTCTAAGCTGTGCTCCTCAGCTGCGGGACTGATGACCGGTTTTGGCGTCAATGATGGGGATGTGTGTTGTGTGTGAGGTAAAACTTGTTTTATCGTCTGAGAGCAACACCAATGACTGTCTCTAAAGACCATGGAAAGATATGGTTGAAATCAATGTCTGACTCTGGGGTGAATGGTGCTCAATCTAATGACACAGGAACTTTAACCTGTGTTAAAGGGCTTCTACAGGATCAAGCAGAAAAACAAATACCCCTAACATGAGTGAATAACCCCAATTGTTTATTGTGCACAGATGCCGCACCTGTTCAGGCTCCCTAATGCTTCATCACAATTCATTTGGCTCAAATTTTTGTACCTCAGACAAGGTCCGTTTCACAGAGCTATTGTCATTATTTTCAATACATTAAACAAACAACATCACTAGTGGCTCCCTCTACTGGCAGAGGGCATCACAACGTGACTGCAGGCAAATTCAGTTACCTTTACTTGGGAGTTTAAAACAATAAAGACAGGCAGGGGAGGGCAGCTTGAGTAGCGGGGGCACCTTGCCGGCCTTCGTGCCCCATGCGCAGGTGTCCTAGTGTGAGCTTGAGACAGAGAAGGGACCCCACTCTTCACTGCGGTCTCAGTGCCGCCAACCTCTCCCAGTGTAAGCGACAATGCTGCCCGTGCTACACACTGCATATGCACGCACTGTGGCTTTTACATAGCAGCCAACTACTTTATCTGGTACCCAGTGGAAATTGTGGTGGTCTGTTCTTTCCCTGGAAAACAATAACTGGTTAAGTTGGACTTATTGAGAGATGCTATATCTATATCTTAAAATTCATGACAATCAAGCAGACTTTCAAGGGTAATTTTGTCCATACACAACTTTTTGGCTTTGCGTTTTGCCTTTGGAATATAACCCTTATGAAACACGGAGTTTAATTTCACAATTACAAGCTTCTGACATCAGAACTCCGTGCATTTTCTTTCGTTTAAAATGGCTGGTCTGTCACAATACTGAGTTTCTTGCATGAAAGTCATGCAGTCTAGGCAGTTCATGGTTGTAAACCCACTAAGGAAAAAGAAAGAATCTAAGCATGAATAGTATGATCTCTTTGCTCTGGTAGTGTGGAAAGGAGAAATCTCGGGCAGTGAGAGTGGGAATCTCCATCTCCATGCAGCGAGCTTCCAGGTGTTTCCAGGTGTGGCAGTGAATGCTGAACCCCTGAGCTGCAAAGCGTTTCCAGTCACACCTATGCTCCTGGCCCCCTCTCTGTCACAGCACAGCGCATGCGCCAAAGAGAAAACTTAGGAAGAAGCTACCCTCAAGAAAGCAGGTTAGTAAATACCTAATGGATATCCCATGTTCATCAGACCCAAGTCGCTATGGCGTCTCAGAAATGATTGGCTAGTGGCTGATCATGCTGCCTGCCATGTGGGAGACACAGACTCACACACATGGGCTCTTGGGAAATGAGTGACTTCCACAAGGACCGGCTGAGTAGCGGGTGACAGCTGTCCAGGGCCCCCGTTCTTCCCACGGTAATGCTAGAAGTCAAACTCGTGACCCTCGGAGTCGAGGTACATTCAGAACCACCTCAAGATGTACTCGTTTCCTGCTCTCATCCAATCCTAGGCAAATACAGAGCACTGCTTTCTTCTTTCTTTTTTCTATTAAAAGCAGCATGACAATTTTTAGGATCTAGACAGCTTTGGTGAGGAAGCGGCTTGAGGGGATCCATGAAGCTGGAGTGTGGGACAGGAAGGCATGGTCACAACATAACTGCAGACAGAGGACAGCACTACTGCGTACGAAATGTAAGAAACAGGTAGGTCTGTGACTGCAGAGAATAAATGAGAATCTGGTAAGAGGGAAATGTCAGAAGAAGGGATTCAACATTGGCTCTAGGCACAGCCCTGATTAGGGCTAAATCACTGTTCTTTCTGAACCCTCACTGGCCAACAGGTTTCGTGACCTTGTCTAAGAAAGGTCAGCATAGCATTAAAAACCAAAACAAAGCACCTGGCCATTCCAGATTCAGGGCATTGATCTGCAACTGATCCATCACAGCGATTGGAATCGCACAACGTTACAGCACAGGCGGGGTGGTCTCCACACGAGCGTCCATAGAGTTGCATTTTCTTGGCTCAGCGGGTACTTGGCTCTTTGCTGCGCTTCCCCAGACAATGGTTTTAGGATGCAGAGGAAGACAACCCACAAACCCACACCCCTCTTCTTACTCCCTAGGGATCATGTCCACATAGCTACAGAGCTTCCTGGGGACAAGGTCTGGATGCTTTGAAGGAAAGGCCCTAGACTCAGGCCTGGTATCACACCCTTGGTTCTCCTTTTTGTATCTGTGAGGCTAGAAGAAAGTGCTCCCTGGGTGGCCTCCTCTGTGCTATGCCACCAGCTGGGCCCCAGAAGGAAGACAGGATCTTTCAGAGCCTCCAGAGTTCAGAACACTTGAGCTGACACCTGAGGGGAGCAATTCTCTCCCATTGCCCAGGTAACAGTGGGTCCTGCACGTGGCCGAGATGCTGACTGCACACGCGTGTTCCACTGCCTTGGCCAAAACCACGTTACAAAAATACAATTTTTCGACACATGGAAATGAGAAAACTTTTCCCCTCCTATTTAATCATCAAAGTGTTTCTGGTTTCAGGATTCATTTGAGGGAGATTATCTGATTTATAAATTCATAAATAAGATTGTCTTTCCATTTCATGGTTGGTAATCTGGAAACAATTTTATGGTTTAACTAAATTACAGCAACTGGAAACTTATGCAGCTTTTGCCCATGATGAAATGTTATGAAGTATGTTTTAATGTGAAAGGGGGAAAAAAGTGAAATGCAGTGAAAGAAGAGAAATTATATATGACCCTCTCATTTTATTGCAGGGACAATTTTGTATAATAATCATCAAAATATTAAAGATGCTTAAGCTCATTCTTGCCAATATCGCTAGGTTTAAGGTATTACACGATTGGTATAATTACTGTTGAAAAAATGGTTTAAAAGTGATTTCATAAACCATTTTCTATCATTCCATAAACCATATTTATGGGATTAGTATATATGGTTAACTAGTCATTTAGCACAGTAAGTCAGCCTGGATGAATGAATGTTTTCAGGGCCCAACCATAATATTAATAAAAACTCAAGTCCAAATCCAGGGAAAGTGCTGATCCCAGTATTGAAATTCCTGCTGCGACAATGGGCTTTCCTGCAAGCACCTGTCTGTGAAGACATAGCAAAGCCCACACTGCTCACAGTCTGCTCTGTCTTCAGAGTAGAGGGACGGAAAAATGTGCATTTGAGGGAATATTTTTAGTCAGTAACTCCACTTATACAACGTTTTTGATTCAAGTTTTCACCTCTAACATTTTTGACCATGGACTTGCCTTTGTTCTGAGCCCTCATTACTGAGTTAAGTCCTTATCATTGCCTATCTGAGTAAATTAATGGCTATTAAAAAACAAGTCAAGGCTGTAACAAGTCTGAGACTGGTAATTCCCCTGTAATGAAGCCCTTAGGCTATGTTTTTAAAGATCCTAAACAAATGCTGGGGATCTAGGTGAAACCAGCCAAGGGAGCCGATAGGATTGCTTAGGCCCCCAGTCAGGGGCATTCTCCTCCCTAACCAGTTACTAACGTTGAGACCTAGTGGTGCAGGACAGCCAGTAACAATGATTGTAACCAGGGCTGGCATTCTGAGAGTACTTTGTAGGTGGTCCATCAATTCACTTCTAGTTCTAATATTGTCTGATTTGTTTTTTGCTCCGGCTCATTCCTCTACCCCCAGAAAGGGACAGTCAATGAGTCCTCAACAAATGTTTTTGAGCACTTAAGCTGTGCTACACGCCACAGTGCAAGCTGCTGTGGACACAGCAGCGATAGAGTACCATCATTAAGCAGTACCTTCCTTTCACAAAGTCACTTTTTTTTTTTTTCTGGGAGAAATCTCAGCGAATTAAAGCCCAGTGCCAAAGGCATTTCCCAGAACTGAATAGTGAACAGGCTTCAAGTTGTTTGCTCATGCCCTGACTCTCTGGTATGAAGGGAAAAAAATCAAAGTAATTGAAGACTCTATTTTCAAATGAGTTCAACAAAACACTGGAATTCAAATGATCTGAACTTGTGATACAGCTTCAAAGAGGATTCTGAGCAGCCAGCTTTCTATTTTTGCCCGCACTCTAACCTATTGGTGAAAGAACTATATACTAAAGACATTCTTCCAAAAACTTCCAACAAATGTTAACTTTTCATTCAAGCATCCAGATGTAGTGAGGCAATATTGATGGAGTTGATGGTGACTACAATGGGGCTACAGTGTTCTGTGCGCATTAATATTGTCCCCCTACCACTGCACCCCTTTAAAGATAACGACCATATCTTGCACTTTTCTTGCATGTACAAACATTAGATGAGGACTGAATACATACAGGGTCATTAAAAAATATTGTTTATAACCCTGACCTTGAGGGCTGCTGTTTGTTCTCCTGCCCACTGCTCATGGAGAAGAAAGGAGTTCTATGTTCCCTATTGCCACTTCATCTCCTCGCTTCTGAATTACTCATCTGTACCTTCCCTGGTGCCATTTGAGACCAAGGCTATGATCATCCACGTTCTCCTATTC